TTACATTATTTAATTTTCCTGTACTTAAAATGTTTTCCTTATTTATGATGTTGTTAATGGAACTTCATACTGTTATATTCAGAGATGTTTTGTATGATTCCTTTTTTTTTTTAAATTTATTGAGACTTGTTTTGTCCTAGTGTGTGGTCTAGTCTAGACAATGAACTATTTACACTAGAGAAGAATGCATATTGTTCCATTTTGGGGTGGAGTGTTCTATATATGTCTTTTCAGTCCAATTGGCTATGGTTTTAAGTTTTCTATTTCCTTGGTGATCTTCTTTTTAGATGTTCTATCGGTAATGGAAAGAGGTATGTTGAAGTTGCTTTATTATTTTATTTCCAGTCTCCTTATGTCTACATATCTAAGGTAAGTTTCTTATAAGTAGCAAAAAGGATCAATCATTTTTGTATTCATTCTGCTACTTTGCTACATGATGTCCCAGTGTTGGCCACATCCATATCCTTTATTCCTGTCAATCTGAAATATCGCCCTTTTCCTGTTAACCTAGAAATTCATCCTCGTCCTGGTACCTGTTTTTCATGGGTCTCAGTGAGAGTCAACAGCATTCTTAGCACCCTTATGCACAGCCCACCATCTCACTTCACTCCCTTCTAAATGCAAAGCTCATGAAATCCCACAGCCTATTTTGCACTGCCTTAAAAAAAAAAAAAAAAAAAAGTCCACAGCTTCTTCTTTTCTGTGTTCTGTGTTTAGTATGTTACTCAAACTGCTTCCTAGAATAGCTGTGATATATGAATACTCCAGATGTTAGCTAGAAAGATCTCTGGCTTCTGAATTGACCTCATTCCTCCATTTCCCTGCCTCTGGACTTATCCTGACTTTCCAATACCGCAGCTGCTGTGTAGAATCCTGAGATCTCTGTCTGTGTTTTCATTTGTTGTTCAGTGAATTAGTGCTGGGGATGTAAATGAGAGCATCCATTCACTTTACCATCTTTCCCTGCTTCTTCTCTATCAATACTTTCCTTCAGCTACACTAGCCAAAACTCATTATTTACTTAATAGAAACTAAAATTTGGATGAATACAATTTACCTGAATTCTTGGCCTGTATTGTGCTTTTTTTTTTTTTTTCCTTTTGTAGTTCTTGTTTAAAAAAAAAAAAAAATCCCAGAATTACATGGAATTACTTGCAGAAGTCCAATGGATTGTCTAAAATAAGATAGGGAAGAAAGTTCCAAATTCACTGAACTAAAGAAGATACTGTGACCATTCAAACTGATTGTTTTTCAATAGTACACACTGGGAACACCTTCAGATGTGCAACCTTTCCTTGAGCGATTTCACCAAGTAGCAGCAGGAGACACATATCTAATCATTAAAACTTCTGAGAAGATCATACTGTGCTCAATCTTCTGCAGGCATGGAGTATTTATTTGAACTGGAATTTCCCTTGAAGTTAGTGAGGACTAAAAGTGCTTTGTTAGCTTCTACAGTTTGCAACAGGGAATTTTATGCTGGATTTATTGATAAATTATGTACTTTGTCCATATATGGAGAGCAAGATGTTGCCAGAATATTTTACTTCCAAATCAAATATTTAATTATATAAACATGGGAAATTAGTTTATTTTTATTGTTTTTTGTTGTTTTGTTTTGTTTTGCAGCTGAGGGATATTTTACATAGTGGATGTCCTTGAAAATTTTAGGAGTATTTGGTGACATACTTTTTTGTTTTTTTAATGCATTTCATTGAAATATAATTTATGTACAGTGAAATACACAAAACTAAAGTGATATGGGTCATGAAATACACAAAACTAAAGTGACATGGGTCAATGCATTTTTTTTTGCAGTGTTCCCTCTCCTCCCCTCCTACCCCTCACAACCAACAAAGAAAGTTTCCCTCCATATATAAACCTTTCCTTGAACCTCCACAACAACAAACTAATACTATGTTTGTCCTTCTGTGAATGACATTTCACTCAGCATAATGTCCTCCAAGTTCTTCCATATTATGCAGTGTTTTGCAGACTCTACATTATTCTTTAGTGCTGCATAGTATTCCAGTATGTGTATGTACCATAGTTTGGTCATCCACTCTTCCACTGATGGGCACATAGATTGTTTCCATCTTTTTGCTATTATAAATAGTGCTATGATGAACATGAGCATGCATGTATCTGTTCCTATGCTGGCTCTCACTCTCTAGGATATATACCTGTAATGGGATTGCTAGGTCAAATAGTATCTCCAATTCCAACTTTCTAAGGAATTGCCATATTGCTTTCCACAGTGGTTGTGCCATTTCACAGTCACACAGCAACGTATGAGAGAGAGTCTCAATCCCTCCACATCCCCACCAGCATTTGTTATTTTCTGTTTCATTGAACCTTGCCATCAGTGCTGGGGTGAAACGGTATATCTCATTGTTGTTTTGATTTACATCTCTCTGATGGCCAATGATTGTGAGTATTTTTTTAGCTGACCACCTGAATATCTTCCTTGGTTAAGTGTCTATTCACATCTTCTCCCCATTTTTCAATTGAATTGATAATTTGTTTGGTGTTGAGGTGTTGGAATTTTCCATCAATCTTAGAGATAAGTCCCTTGCCAGATATGTAATTATCAGCAAATATGAATTTGTTGCTGTCATTTTTGTCATGTGCTTTTTCATTGTGTCGATTTTTTTTGTTCCATATAATTTTCTA